AAACTACGGTGGACGATATTAGAAGAAATCTTGATAACTCGCTCCCTGAGAATTCCCTATGTCAAGTCCCTGTGTAGCCTAAGCAATCCTCTCTGTTACAGTCTCCAGCAACTCAGTCTTCATTTGACTGAACAATTCAGTGAGTAGCTATTGAACAACATCCCTAACCTCATTAGCGACCAACTCCTTAAAATCTGGATTGTCAGCATCCTCAGGTCTCCTAGATCCAGATCTAGGTCCTCCTCTATTGGTAACCATAACCGAAACACTTTATTCATTTAACATTAGAGATGACTACCTTTTACTTTTTTTCTTTAGATAGTATTTTGTTTCTTATACCATCCACTAGATCTTTAGTCTCCTTCTCTATTCTTCTAGATCCAATCACCTATCTCGTGCTTCCGATGATATGGGTACATACCATCTTCTACACCTATACATGGTTTCTTCTCAAGATCACCGAATGTTTCCTTACTTACTATGTTTTTGGTAATTATTACTTACATGCATATTCATAAACTATGTCACCCCTTTCCCTATTGGAATCTACCATTCAACCCGATAACTTATAATTTATATATACAACTACACATAACTATACAAGCTAGATAGTCATTTGAAAGATTGATTCTACCCTAAGACTACAACTAAACAAGGAATGGGAAGTAAGGACAAATAAAGATTTATGATCCTATATAACTATAGTCATGCAATAGTTGTGAAATACGAATCACAAATTGTCTAGAAGGACAATTAGATCATCACATATAAGCATATATTGATTGCATATAGTCATCATATAACCAAGTAAGTAAGTTTCATCATATAACATATCACTAAAACCTATTGACTAACCATGGAGCTCAGATGATTGTACGATCTGCATTCTCTTCTTTGTGGCATATGTAATTTCCCTTAATTATATTTTCAAAAGTGGTCATTTTACTTAATTTTTACTTATAAAAACAACTTTTTTCTGAAACTCAGTAATGGTTTGAGTCTAAACACACACTAGGAAGTATGTTTAATTCTCTCAAATCATTGATCTGATACCAACTTGTAACATACCAAAATCCACTTTTAAAACTTTCCAAATGAAAGTATGACATTACCAAAAATAGGGGTTCCATCCATAACAACAAAAAACGTAGTGTCAAAAAAATATCGTCAACCACCAAAACTAAGTTCTTGTTTGAAATCAAAACATAAATGGATGTGATGGCCCAGAGAACGTCCAAATGTCTCAATCAAGCCAGCTTCTTTCCCTTTGAACTTGAAGGACTTGCAACTTAAACATCAAGCAGCAGTTGTAAGCCTAAGGCTTAGTGAGTAATCATAAAACTCACCCATTATACATATCATACGTATTTCTCATCATACACATAGACATCACATAATAATCACATAAATTATACATAGAAGATATGCTAGTTGATATATCTAACACATAGTCCATATAATAAGTAAGTAAATGAGAACTCACCTGAAAGTCTGATAAGGTAATCCACACAATGAGCTAAGTGGTACTGATACTACCTTTAGTTACAAGATAATAATTGACCTTAATTGTAAAAGACAACCCTTTTGCTATCCTTTATAACTTTTCCAATCATTAATAATTCATCGTATAAAACAAAGGGGGTTCATGAGGCCACTCGAAATCTAGATAACATCTTCATTTCAAACCCAACCATATGAAGTTACACATCTTGCAACCATTACCTTCTTCACTACCAATAGTTCACTCAACTTCCTTGTAAAACCACCCAAAACCAGGAATTCCGACACCGCAACTGTTGGATTAGGTGTCTAAGCCCATAACTTTAATTAGGATGTACTTGACCCGATAGTAGCATGGTTCTTTTGGGTTGCTTTCACCATAGCAATTTGATAGGATGAATTATGAAGAAAGAGGTTAATTTTGATTTATTAATATATATTAATTTGGAATTAATTTAGTGATCAAAAGAGACTAATTAAATTATAGGGATTGATATTGCAATTATGTGATAGTTGCAAGTTGGGCTTATGGATCCATAGGAAAGGGCGGACGAAATTCTATGGGTAGCCCACATAGATTTCGTCCAAGGGGGCCTTCTGGATGGATCTACTGGACTGCTTAAGGTTTAAGCAATTAGATTAGGGGTTTACTTGAAACCCTAGTAGCTCAGCTATATAAGGAACCCATGGGGTGCCTAAAATCTGCCGCTACATCCTTAGAGGAAACCCTAGCCGATTTTTAAAGGCTTCCCACCTCTCTCATATTCTTCCAATTGCTACTTGGTGTTTGTGACTCATTAGAGCTGCAACAATTGAGGCATAAAGCTCTTGAAGTTCAAGATCAACAAGCTACAAGGAAAAGGTATTCATCTATCTTTGTTTTATGCTATAAATCTCGAAACTTGTATGCTAGTTAAGGTCCATGCTTTGGAAAAATTAGAATTGCATGTATAACTTGAGAAAAACCTAGATAAAAGCATTAGGGTTACATGTAGACCATAGGAATGTTGTAGTGTTCATAACCCATTAGCAACCACCATCCAACCCAAATGATAAACTTCACAAGACTGAAAAATCTTTGTCCCAAAATGTCAAAAATCTTACTCTAAGAATGATGATCACCTTCCTGATATAACCAACCCTTAGTCCCTTTGACTATGAGCACTACCATCCCACACTGAAGCGAGCACTCTAAACATCTTAACCATAACAACTCAACAAATCCCCAATCTGGAAAATTATGGCCTATAAGAGCTTCTGCCTCTCACTTGACTTCCTGACAAGTCATCACTAACTCCCCACTCTTATGATCATATCAATGAATGAGTCATAACCTCACTTCATATCTAAACTCCTATTCTGGCTTAGATACGCGAAAATACCCGCAAGGATGATAGCAAGACCGACATGGAGCCGTGAGCTAAACAGACCCACGGGATGACGATGATATAGTCCACAAGCCCATTGTTGATATGTATGATTATCACTGTGATATTTTGGAAAACTAACTAAATTTTGTACTTATTAATTAAGTTTGAATGTTTTATTATTGTTCTTACATTAAATGAGGAGGGCGTGGTTTGAATGTATCGCATCCATGGAATGGTTTGGAGACTTCTACACTTTTGATTACTATCTATTGTTACGCTGATTTGGTTATGGATTGTCAACTAAAAACAATTGGTTATTTATCTATCTTCAAAAAATTGGAACGATTGCTTTTGTTTTTAATTAAAAATTTTGGTTTGAAATTTAGAACGTTACAACATCTGTTGAACTCGTGTAACCTGTAAAATGTAAGCTTTTGAGCAAAATCAATAAAGTCTCATGTTCGATAGTCGATCATTTTGATTGTATGAACCATTTTGTTTTTATTTTCGTTTGTATTTATTATTCTGTAAAATTGTAATTCTTTGAATCATTTGTTGAATTGTTTGAACGGTAACAATAATATTACTTTTGCTTATTAGACGTAGTATCATGTTCATTTTTATAAATCGATATTGGGTATTTATTTCACTTATTAATATTTTTTTTCCTAAATCGGCGCTTGGCAGATATAACCGGCGACCCAAAAATATCAAGTTGAGGGAAGAAAATCCAAACCATGCATACACGTTTAGCTGACAGCTTTCGCGTACACTCATGTCCATGTTATTCTTAAGATGCACAATCTGTCCACATGGCTCTCTACAATTTTCTTTGTTATCCTCATTGCAAATTTTATTTTGGTTTCAATTTTTTATTTTTTTTATTTGTGGCTTCATTTTTATGATCTGCAATTAAAATGTGTATTATCTATTACTTATTTCAATTTCAATTTGAAAATAAACAAGGATATATTTTAGTAAAGGTGTGGTATAACCGTATAAAGGACACATATTACATGAAATTTTAATTTTATATATATATATATATATATATATATATATATATATATATATATATATATATAAAATATACTTTTCCTAAAACTATAAATAAAAACACGTAGAATAATTTTCTATAAAAATACAATTTTTAATTGAAACATAATGTGAACTTCTTAGCCATACAAGGTGCAACACCATATAAACTCACCCGTGACAACGCACATGGATCTCTCCAAGATTTCTCCATTTCTTGTTACTATTTAGTAATGTTTTTCTTACTTTGACTTTAACTTTTGTGTGCATTCTTAAGTAGCAGGGATTATTAACTTTTAGTAATTCAAATATATTTATCACCACTTTCTAATATGTATCCTAAAAGACACATATATGAACTATTAATTATAACAAATATTATAATAATTAAATTTAATAGAAATTAGTCATGCATAACATTATCATAATTAATGTTTATCACATTTAATTATGTTAATGTTCCTCATAATTAATAATTCAATCAATGATTTCTATACGTGCCCTTAGGGAACAAAAAATTCGCTTTATGTTATAGTTTCAATTCTTACAAGGTGAAGATTTTATATGTGCTCGATATGATTTTACTCGCGAAGTAGTTATGCTGTAATTTTGGCAACTTAAAAGTATTGCATTTTGATTCCTCTAATTAATTCAACTGTGAGCGTTTTGGAAAAAGTTTTTTTGAACTTGTTGCAAAATAAGGTATTATATATGGTACGAGAAGATATAAATATTTGACTATTAGTCCAATTTAATTGATATGATGATAAAGATGAAAACAATACGAACAAAAATAAAAAACACTACAGCAAATGGGGCGCTTGGTTTTCTCATTTGTATCTCTTAAAGATTTTATTTTTGCGTCATACAATAAATATAAAATTGATTGCCGATCCATTTATTAAAAATAGCCTAATATATTATATGAAAAGAAGAAGGCTGGTTAGCCTAAGGACTTGGCAATGAAAAAGCTACATAACACTATTCATGATATCTATCTATAAATACACTAACTCACTTCACTAGTTCCATACACCAAAACAAATCACCATTTCTCGAGTTAGTTTTCCCTTCGCATCCTCAAAGCATTTCAAAATGGCTTCAAGGGGATTGGCAACAACTGCTTTCTTCCTCATCACCCTTAACCTTCTCTTCTTTACTCTAGTAACATCAACCTCTTGCCCACCACCACCAAAGGCCCCTAAGCCACATAAACATCACCACCACAAAGCCACATGTCCTAAAGACACACTTAAGCTAGGTGTGTGTGCAAACGTGCTCAATGACTTGGTTCACCTAGTTGTCGGTACACCAGCAACCACTCCATGCTGCAGCCTCCTTGGGAACCTTATCGATCTTGAGGCTGCAGTTTGCCTCTGCACCGCCATTAAAGCAAATGTCTTGGGTATAAACCTTAATGTGCCAGTCTCCTTGAGCTTGTTGCTTAATGTATGTGGAAAGAATGTCCCAAAGGGCTTTCAATGTGCATAGAGATGCTTGATTATTTTTATATATCTTCAAAGAGTT